CTGTTCCCAAACCTAAATCTGGACAGAGTATAAACCTCGACCTTCCTCAGATGGCTGAACTTGCAGACACTTCCTGCATTCAAAGCCATCCCAGTGCTACAGAAGTGTGTGGACTTCTCCCAGAACCACAGGAGACCACACAGGAATTCTCTAAGGTTTCTTCCAAGGAGGCCCCAAACCCTGTTCCACCCAGAAAGTTACACTCTCAACTCAGTGAGAATGAAATTGTCTCTTCCCCTAGAACAGGAATCTTAATCAGTGACCAAGTTAGGCACATAAAAAAGTTTCTTTCAATTTCCTTTCTTCACTTTAGATGAAGATGATTTATAGTTATATGTTTACTTTTTTGTTACACAAGTTTCTCAGATTTCCTTCCTACCTTCTTTCATCCCTGTGTGGCAAAAAGAGAAGCAGGTGCCCAGGAATAGGTACAGTCTGACCTACCTTGTTGGTATAAACACTGACTCTGGACAGAGGGAGGGGAAACTCTGTCATTCCCTTGCCCCATCTGTGGATACAGACAGGAGGAATCAGAGGGCTCCCTGCCTTATAAAACTCACTGCCTTTAACAGAATTGCCAGCTCCTTGAAGGCCTGAGTCTTCAGCCAACCCCATTGTCTGCTGGCCCTTTGTTCCTACTCCTTTGTCAACCAGGAAGACAACATGAGACTCATCCCGACTTGCTTCAAGTCTCTTAGCTCTTTCCTCTTTCCTGTATAAGTGAAGCAGCCTTGGGTATGATGTGTACATCCCCCACAGCCTTGTATTCCAGTCTGCACAGGTTATAATCGCCTCTGCATTCTACCACCTTTACCTGCGGCTCCCAGCCCTGCGTGCATTAGACATGCAATAGCTATGGGAAGAGAAAGAAAATAAGGAAGGAAGGAGAAAAGGAGGAAGAAATAAGATTTAATTTCTTGTTCATGGTCAACCTAGAGATTCGAATCTGTGCCTCTCTCTCTGAGCCATTTATTCTTTTACTCTTTCCTGGCACATAATCTGTACCCAAGTCTGTCTTCTGACATCTGTCTGCCTATTTCTGTGGCTGTATTTTTCAACTTTCTTCTTTTTTTTTCTCTTTGGCATCAGCCACAACTCTAGTTGTTTGATACTTCTCTCTGTGTGTCTAATTCTTGGTCTGTCTCCTCCAATATCTTACTTTTTTTTTTACATTGTGAATCAGAAATCTGAGTGGCCAAGGGACAATGCAATGGCAAAGGGAAAAGCCCCGTTAAACCACACATGGGTCCGGTGGAAGGAATTAGTTCCTTCTTCCCAATGCCTTGTCCCTGTAAATCAAAATTGGCCATCCAAGTCTTGCCCTACAATAACTTAATTTTAGATTCCTCCAGAATATTCCTAAAATTCTTCTACCTGCCATTAACAAGATAATAGCTTCAGAGTCCAGATCTCACTCAATGAGGATGCTACAGTCAAGTCTTGCCGTACTAAAAGTTTACTCTCACAGCTGGCTTTTGGCTTCTTATCACGTCCCACAGATTTCTAATGCCATGTGCCTTGGTCTTCCCTCCCCACCTTCTCTTTGTTTCTCTACTAACCTAAAGTCAAGACTGCTGTCCCAACATCTGGTTACTTTGTGGTCTCCCAGATGTCCAACGTCTGTGCTCCATCTGTATCCTGAGAGTCTCAGAGACTTCATCCCTTGTTTCTTCCCCATTGTCCTCAGATGGCCTCTGTAGGGGCTACTAGCATGGGTACTGATTTCTGACACTGAACCTGGAGCTCTCCTGGAATGTGCCATTCCAGGAAAGCCACTGATGAGAATTGAGAATGTCTGTCATGTGACTTATAAGATTATAGATGATCTGTGACACGATTTTGTTGTTTGTTCGAGGAAACCTTTGCCCAGGAAAAATGTCCATAAACCAATAAATAACTGCATTGTTTGCTTCTGGAAATTCCTCCAAACCAATTTACTGGAGACAGTAGTTTGCTTATTTAGACAATGAGTTTATCAGACAACAGTTCACTACTATGACTTGTTTCAAGACCTTTGCTTCACTGTGTCCACCAATCCTAAAAAATCATATTACAAACTTTGCCCAACCCCATCAGTTTCCCACACTAAAGCCCTATAAACACCCCACTTCTCACTTCCTCCTCCTCAGGCACTTGCTAAGCTTATCAAGGTGGGATTTTACCTCCACTGCAGCAAATCCTTATAAACTTAGGTTATTTTTTACTAATAAGTGGTCTAGTGATATTGTGAATTTAATTCCAAGAAGCTCAGCTCTCAAAGGGGAAAAAAAAACACCACAACCCTATTGATTTGCTGACCACCAATTGCTTACCACAACCCGTCTACACCACGCGCAGGCGCAGTGTTTCATCTGTCTTTACCCTGACTTCCGGCACAGTCCTAGACCAGAGTGCACAGAGTGTCTCTTGCCTGCCCAGGCTGGGGGCACCTGGGAATCTGGGGGAGATCACAAAGTTAAAGGGTGTCCTTCACAACAACAGCCAAAGCCACACAGTAAGACACCCAGCTGGCACTTGACTGAAGAGTTGTACTTTTGCCGTGCCCATTCTGTAGGCTAAATCACTATTAAATAAATTGTGAAAAGGATACTTTTCAATGAATTCACTATTTCCCCCCCTCCTCTGCCCCCTAAAAGTCTTCAAAGCTCTCTGTGGGTCTGGTTCAGGCCAACGGCTTCTTGCTCCTCATACTGCAAACAGTAACTTAACGTTTCTTGATTGGATCTTCTGCTCTCCCTCCACAATTAACCACAGGTGTCCAAAAATAATAATTTTTCCCATATCCCATCATTCCAATAAGATGTGGGTAGAAAGCACAGAAATCCAAACCTAAGCTTTTCTTAGTGTCAAAATCTCCTGTGTTAGAGTTTGAGCAGCAGTTCTAGAACTCCTGTCAGGGTTTCTTCAGCTTCCAGGCAGGGGCCCGGGACCTCTTGGGAAGGGTTCCCTGGACTCTTGGCAGAGATTCCCTCAATGACCTGTTTAGTCACAGCCACTTGCTGATTAGGGAAGTGCCCAAGTGATACTTGCAGCAGCTGCTTTTATTCACTAGCCGCTCAGTTAATTCTTTCCAGAAGCGTTTAAGGAGACTCTAAAATATGCCAAGTCCTGTGTCAGCAAGTCAAAACTATATGAGACTTTGTGGTGCCAGTCCCCAAACACCTGCGAGCCCAGTCTAGTAGGTGTGTCTTCGTGCAGAGTTTTCTATCCCTGGGCTTGTCTCCAGCTCTCGGGGAGTTTGCAGCTGCTTTGCCTCAGGGCTCCCATCAGACCCAAGAGCTCAGTATGATGTGTGGAGCTATGGGCAGGTCCCACCAGAGCCCCAGCAGTGGTCCTATTCCACATCCTTTCCCAGCGCATTTCAACCTCCTGAGAGTGGTGTCAGGGGAGCAGGAATCTCACAATAAACAACCACAATTCTAGCTGTCTAAGCTTTCCATTTGCTCTTTTCAGAGTTGGGTGAAAAGCCCTACATTGCCATTAACCCTGGGGGATCTCTCCCTTTCTCAAATGACATGTCCTCAGGTAGAAGTCAGCTAATTCAAAAAGAATGATGGAATCCCATACCTGAAGTGATCTCCAAAGTGTTGGAAACTTGAAGGTGACTTGGTGCCATCACCGGGCTCGCTCAGCTCCACCTTCTAGAACTAGAGATACTACACTTTGCACCCCAGTTTTCCAATTTAGGGTTAATACAGAGTCCCACCGGCAACCACTGCACTGTAGGCAGATCCTTTGAAGAGATACTTTATTATTACTCAAGGCTATTGTCTGTCATTATAATTTTGTAACAATATAGAAACCTTATTTTCAAATTGCTTTGAATGCACAAAAATTAAAACAGAAAATTACATCTACACTTGACCTCATGGTTGAGTGAAAATGTGCGTGCTTTGGACCAGCCCTGGGGTAGAATATAAACCTAATAACAGTTGATATGTTTGTTGGAGAGATTTTTTCCCAGATACTTCCAATTTTATCATTTTATTTCTTTCATTACACAAAATAGAAGTTTGATAACTTTGTGTTTCCAGGCAAATAATGTACACTCTCAGTGCCTCAGTTTCATCATTTGCAATAATTGGGGTAGAATACCTAACACTAGGGTTATGAGAATTAAATGAATAAAAATATAAAGTCATTTAGAATTTGGCCTGGGGTATAGAAAAAACTACACAAATAGAAGCTACTGTATGTGATGGAAAATCACTGGACACAGTAACACATGTGACAGGGTAAATTATTTTTCACTGATAACTGGAGTGTTTAGCAAAAGAAAAGTTAAAAATCTCCCTTACTTTATAGAATAACAGTAAGACATTTGTCTTGAGTCCTATTTTTCTTGCTTCTAGTTGAAAGGTGACACCATTTCTTTGTTTCAAACCAGGTGAGCCAGCTTTAAGAATTTCCTTTTCCCCCAACTACCTTCAGCTGGATGACAGGGACTAAACAAGGCTCTAAGCATGAACCATCCAAGTTGAAGAAAAGATGGATTCTGGGCGCTGGGACTAGCTGGCACTGGCACTCTACTCACATTTCACATCCCTGGGGCAGAGTTATCTTAGAAAGAAGAAAGCATCATGGCCCCACGAGAAGGCTGTGTGCCATGCACAGAAATACTGAGAGCAGCAGTGAAGTACGTTCACTGTAGCCTGCCCAGCCCTGGGTGAGTGGAACCACAGGGGAGTTGCCTTAATTTGAAACTGTAGGGCCAAGACTGGGGCACCTTCAAGGCAACCCAATGGACTGAAGACCAAAGCTATTCACATTCCTTTCAACCTTTTCTCAGAGTTAAGACCAGGGACCCTGGCACAGTCTAAATAGTGAAGGACACTCCAATATTAACACAGATCACTACTTGCTGCCTTTTGCAAGTGATAGTACCTAATGATATAGTTTTGCACCCCAGTCAGTATGAAGAATTACATATAAAACTAAATATTATTTAATTTGTATTATCTTTGCAAGCTGTTTCACACAAATAAATGATTTGTCCGATCCTATGTCATCAAAAGTATGCTTTATTATTGTGCCCTGATATCACTTTGAAATAAATACATTGTGAGATGGCATATACCTCAAGAAGGTTTTGATGCAATATTTACGCACTTTGGTACTGGGCATATAATGTCATCACTTGTTCCAAAAGTGGAAATCCACAACTTCAAAGAAGCCTCCACATAATAGAATCCTCCTATCCTATACTTGTCCACAAAAGCACACTTTCGCCTGCCACATTAAGAGACAGCCCAACACCACAGTGTGGAGCCTTTGTTCCCAGTGTCTCATTGGCGTCCACTCATCTTCTACATGAAAATCCTCCTGGAATGAGACCTGTGAAGAGCAGCAGATTTGTTATATAAATTAAATCATACCTCTGTTATAGATCATTAAGATTCATGTTGTAGAAGATTATAAACTCAGAAAAATCTAAATACAAAAGGCTGCAAGATTGTACTGTGCAAGTGATTCAATTTCTGAAAAAAATATATACACATGCGCAAACACTATGAGGATTACCACTAAGATGACACAAGCACGTTGACTCTAGATGGTGGGATTAAAGATGATTCTAATATTTCTCTATTTGCTTATCTGAATTTTCCGGCTTAACTAAAATGACGATGTATTAGCTGTACAGCAGAACACCTCTCCCCTGCCCTCAAGAAGTAAGGTGAGAGAGAGAACTAATGCTACTTAAGAAGACAATAAATTTGGGAAACCAAATAGCTGAAGACACCAGGAATGGGACTTTTAAATGGAGTTAGTGTGTTACAAGTTGCCACTTCAGAGCTTGGGTACTCTAGAAAGGACAGATCTGGGCAAAAGCTTTAGACATTTGGGAAATTACATGAGTTCCCTGACAGCCCAAGAAAAAGTGAAAAAGGTGTAACCTGATAATAGTTTTCCCTGGTGCCTTTACATTAATAGGGAAAGTGCTGGTGTGCAAGTAAAACCATACAACTAGGGGCTTGATATGAGAGCACTGAATTTATAAAGAGAGGGGGACACAAGGAACCCTGAACCTGTGGGAGACCCAAATCAGGCCTGGCCTAGGGCAGTCACAGGAACCAGTCACAGCAGTGACTCAATGCTATAGGTCCGGGTGGCACTGGGCATTGGACACACGGGATCCTGCCTGTTTCCCAGGAAGAAAGCCAGTGTCCCTGCAGATATGCACATTAGGAGAAATGAACAGAGGAGGTAGATTACACTGAATGACATGTTTTGATGTTGGTTATTTTATTTCTTGACCTTTAAAAGTAGCCAATATAGTAATCAATATGCTGTCAATTGTTATCCCAGAGAGTTCATTTGGAAAAATGCAAATATTAAAATTGATTCAAATAAAGCTAAATTGGAGAAAATTCATTCTCTACCTCCAAATTTAAAATTCTGTTTTCAGGTTAGAGAAAAAGAAAAAGGTAGGTTTCCCTGTTCTTAGTTTCTTTATTTCATACTTCTTCTCTTTTCTCTCTCTTCTCTCTCTCTGCCCCTTTCTCTCACAGCCCAACCTTCCTCCCTCCCTCCCTCCCTCTCTCTCTCCTCTTCTCTTCTTTTTCCTCCTCCACCTCCTCCTCCTCCTCCTCCTCCTCCTCCTCTCTCTCAAACATTCTGGCCCTCCTCACTCATAAGGTTTTGAATTCTTGAAGAAGTATTAAATCAATATTTAAATGAAGATCAACAAAACGTCGTTCAGTACTACAAAGTAAAATTGCCTAAAAATGTAGTTCACTAAAAATCTTGTAGTTCACTAAAAAAATCTTGTAGGTCACTAAAAAAGGTGTCAAATGGGACTTTTTCATCACACTTCACCTCTATCAGTACCTGCAGCAAACTAGAAGACTTGGGGAAGAAGACCAGAAGGCAGAGGGGAAGCTGAGAAAGGAGAGCTCTTTGTTCTAGAGAAACAGCATGGTACAGAGCTAAGAGCCAGATCTGGTCCCCACCACTGCATGAACGTATTAGATAAGTCAACCACATGTAATCCCTCCAGCAACCCTAGGAGGACGCCATTATCAGTACTATTATTCCCATTTTATACAAAAGGAGCCAGGCCCAGAGCATAAAACCCTGAAAACAATGCCTGGAATATAATTACTGCTGTATGTGTCAGTTAAATGCACTTAAAGGGGAACTTGAAGGTGCAACCACTATCCAATCAAAACAATACCTTGTCTATTTCCAAAGAACCAGATCTCAGCCAGTGCTGCTTCCACACTAAGGATGCAAGGCTTCAAATCTCTGAGAAATCAAGCAGAGTTACCATCAATTAATTTCAGGCTAATAATTAAAGTGAGATCCTCAGCTACTTCTTCACACCACATACTTTTAATAGTCTACTTTAAAAAAAAATGTCCAGTTTGGCAACTAGTACTGCAGATGAGGGAAAGCTACCACCCATTATCTGACTTTCAATCTGGCCCATATGCAGTATATGAAAATGTAATATTCCTTGCAAAGTATTTTGTATCAGCCAGGCACGTGCCTGTGGTCCCAGCTACTTGGGAGGCTGAGGTAAGAGGATCACTTGAGCCCAGGAGTTCAAGACCAGTCTGGGCAACATAGTGAGACCCCAAATTTGCAAGATCCAAGACCAATATATACAAATCAACTGTATTTACAAATACAATCAATAAGAAATTGAAATGTAAAACAACACCATTAACAATAGCATTAAAAATATGAACTACTTAGTATAGTAAGACAAAAGATGTTCAGTATCTGATGAAAGATGTTCATGATCTATAACTGACAACTAGAAAATATCACCAAGAAAACTGAAAGAAAACTTAACTGAAACTTAACTAATAGCTATTCCATGGTTCATTGTTCAAAAGACTCAGTATTGTTAAAATAGCAATTATCACAAAATCGAGCTATAAATTCAATACAATCCTAATCAAAATCCCAGTAAGCGTAATTGCAGAAGTTGACAAACTTATTCTAAAATTGATATGAAAATGTAAAGGACCTAAAGTAGCCAAAGTAATTTTTCAAAAGAGGTCAGAAGATGAATAAATATCATATGATTTTATGACATTATAAAGCTACAGTAATCAAGACAGCATATTAGCATAAAGACCAACAAATAAATCAATGAAACACAATAGACACTCCAGAAATAGAACCACAAATGTGTGAACAAATGATCTTTGACAAAGTTGCCAAGGCAATTTAGTGAAAAACCAATAGCAGTCTTCTTAATAAATACTGTTGGAATAAGTGAATATCTATATACAAAAAAAAATGAACTTTGAACCATACCTGAAGTACCACATACAAATGTTTGTACCATATACAAAAATTAACTCAAAATAGATTATAGGCCTAAATATAAAATCTGAAACTATAAAACTCCTAGAAGAAAATCTCTGTGACCAATAGATTTTAAAAATACTACACCAAGAACACAATCTACAAAGGAACAAATTGATAGATTGGATTTTAATCAAAATTAAAAATTTCTGCTCTTATTTAAAAGACACTTAAAGACAAGCCACACACTGGGAGAAAATATTTGCATATGATATATTTGGTAAATGATTTCTATCTAGAATTTTAAAAAGAACTCTTAAAACTCAATAATAAAAAAAGGGGAAGGCAACAGATTTGATCAGACACTGTACCCAAGAAATGTGGATGGCAAATAAGCACAAGGAAAGATGCTCAATGTCACTAGTCATTAGCTAATTGCAAATTTAAACCACAAATAGCAAACCCCACTGTAAAAAAGACAAAACAAGACCAGGCACAGTGGCTCATGCCTGTAATCCTAGCCATCTGGGAGGCTGAGGCAGGAGGATTGCTTGAGCTCAGGAGTTCGAGACCAACCTAAGCAAGAGCAAGACCCTGTCTCTACTATCAATAGAAAGAAATAGCCAAAACAACTAAAAATAGAAAAAATTAGCTGGGCATGGTGGTGCATGCCTGCAGTTCCAGCTACCTGGGAGGCTGAGGCAGAAGGATCACTTGAGTCCAGGAGTTTGAGGTTGCTGTGAGCTAGGCAGATGCCATGGCACTGCAGCCCAGGCAAGAGAGTGAGACTCTGTCTCAAAAACAAAACAAAACAAAACACCTAGTGAACCTTTGTGTAATGCATGGACTTTAGTTAATAGTAATGTATCAATAGTGGTTAAAAAAATTATGTATGAGAAAAATATTGATGTGGAGTGGGATTCCAATCTACCCCAAAGTGCAGATCAAAGGTTCTCTTACCCCTCCAACCAACTTCACCATCCCTAGGACTTACTTGTGTCTTGACGCATTTGGAGAGCAGCATTTTCTGGAAGTAGCCAAGCCACCTGATGTGGGAAGTGGGAAGTGGGAAGACGCAAAGCATTTGCTCCTGTGCGAGTCAGAAGTTCTCTGGGCGCAGGCAGGATGATGTGTTCGCTCACTGAGGGATAACTTGTGTTCGGGCAAGCCAATCCCAGGGTGAAATAAGGAGGTTGAGTCTCAGGTCCTCAGAGTCTTGGCTGTTAAGAAGCAGCCCACCAGGTCTCTTCCTGCCCTGAGGATGCTGACTCTTTGCCACTCTTTGCAGGCCTGTGTCTTCCATCTTCCTACAGAAGGGGGCTCCTTGGAAGCTCAGCCCCTCCTCCTCTCTCTGACACTCCGTCTGTTTTCTCCTAGGCAAAGTCTGGTCCATTTCTGCCACAATAGGGCTCCATCCAAGCCCAGCTTCAATCTCTCTTTCCTAGAGAATCCAAACTAGGAGCTTTAGAAATCTTCAAGGTTACATCCTCACTTTATGAGGTTAGCAGACTCCATGAGACAAGGTGACTTGCTAATGGCCAAACAGTTAATAATTTGTTTTATGCACACTTTTACACTAAAGACACTGGATAATCTAATGACTACCCATGACTGTATGTCCAAGACTTTCAGTCCCAATCTTGAATGTTCTGTACAGTCATCAGGCCACATTAAGAATTTTCCTATCTAAGAAACACTGCAATTAATACTACAGAGATGTTAAGAGAAATCCTGGAAGCAATCAATCTATTCCTGTTACTGAATTCAGCTTTTCAACTCTGAAGCACTGGCTTTCAACTTTTTAGGGTCATGAACTTTAAGGAAGCTGGGGAAAGCTAGAGACCCTTTCCACACGCAAAAATTTACATAAAAACATAAAATTTTGCTCTCAGTGATTTAACATACAATATATGACATGAAAACCCTTGGTCTGATGGTAGAAATGGCAGCATATCTGCTATGTGGTCAGGGCATATTTAAAACTGGCTTTTAAGTAATAACAAAATTTGCAGACATTTGTGTAACATGACAGATTACCGAGCACATTTAATCCTCACAACAACCCTGTCAGGTAGGTATTAATATCCCAACTTTCCCCATGAGGAAACCAAAACCCAAAGAAATCTGGAGATTTTCCAAAGTTCAGGCCTAGAGCATAGGCTCTTCGTTTCTTGTTCAAAATGCCTTCAAATCTAATATTTTCAGTTTTGAAGTCAGGGTGCTTGCTAGCTACTCAGGGGAAACTCAGTGTCAAAGCCTTGAAAGCAAGTAGTTGTCTTTGAATTGAACAGTAGTGCAGAGATCATGAGAGATACAGATCAGAGCCATTGTGCTATTTACGTTTGCGTGCATTAAGAATTACTCCCAGGCCAGGATATCTTTAGGTCCAGAAACTCAACACCATTTAAAGGAATACTAATAAACAAAACAAAATCTAATGCTATCAGTAGTAAGACACACAGGTTTGTCTTTTATTTTGTGTGTGTGTTTTGTTTTGTTTTTACCATAGTTATGAATTGTTTGGTGTTTTCCCAAGGAACACCTGAGAGTTAGTTGGGAGGACAGCCAAAAACACTTAAAAAAAAAGGGCAGAATATGCACCAAAGGGAGAATAGGAGAGTCACAAAACAGACTTTCAAACTTTATAACAGATTAAAGTGTTGGGACATTGGCAAAATTGCCATAGATAGTACTTTCAGTAGGGGAAGGCAGGGTGAGACCCCTAATCAATCCATAAGCCAGAGATTTCAGAATCTCCACAAAGTGTCTGGCCCTATTCTTGCTGACCCAAAATGCCTCCTTTGGCCATCTGCTCAAAGAAAGATGGAGAAGCTCTGTGACTTTATGCCATCATTTCTGAAGTGGGCTGGGCTACATCTATAGAAATTAAGTGCTGTCTAAGGACTGTGGCGAGTATATTAAAGTTTTCAGTGTCCCATGGCAAGTGAGAAAAATATGGTGCTGTTTTTGTTTTGCCAAGACAGCCAACCAACCTGAAGCACTGTCCCTCATTACAGGACTATTTAGTACACCAAAAATTCTTCAGAATGTTTGGTGAAATGAGAGTAGTGGAGCCGACGTCCTTCACCCAGCTTTGTGTCTATGGGTTAAACACAAATGTGTCTCTGTCCAGGTCTATGTGGCCAGTGCCTTAGTTCTGCCCCCTCCCAGTTAGCATTAAGAGAAAATACCTTCAGCCAGGTAGGAAGAGGTTCCCAGATCCCATCCTTAACTACCAAAGGATTTACTGCCTCTCCAAACTCTGGAAATTCATAGCTATTCTTCAATGCCTGCTTTACAAGCCCAAATCCTGATTCCCTCAGAAGGCCCAAATTCTGGGAACTCTCTGTAACTAGCATGGGAGTTTTTGTTTTTCAATGCGCACAATTACACCTCCCTCGGAAAAGCTTTGTCATCAAAGGGTGAAAACCTTGTGTTCTGTCCCTTCCCTAGCTTCAGCAATGACCTTTAACCCACCCTTAAACACTGATCTCCTTTTCTACAAGAGAGGTATTTGTTCTATGGTCCTCAGGCTTCCTGGACTTCAGCAACCCATAAATTAGATGTCAATACTTCAGGGAGAGAAGAGGTGAGAACATCCATCACCTCTCCCACTGTGCCTGTGAGTATGGCACTGAGGACACAGGAAGCCTCCCAGCCCTCACTCACTTCAGACTCCTGTCCAGTACCTGTAATACCACCCCACTTACTACCTGAAAAGGAGCCACAGGAAGGTCTGAATCCTCAGGCCATATAAGTCAGCTGGTCTTCTACCCTTAGCCCAATAGCAATTTAAAAGATAACTGCAGAACCCATTCTGGGGAGTCTCCAAATACATTAGGCCTCTCCTTACTACACACAGAAAAGTCAGTCCTTGGAAACCCATTTCTCACCCCCATGCCCTACAGTCAGCCATGACATTATCTCCCCACTATGTATTAGATTTTCCAGAGCAGGGAATGAGTCTTATTCAGCTTTTATCCTTACTACCTAGCTAAAACTTAGCATGGAGTAGACACTCAGGAGTTTGTAGGAAGGAAAGGAGGGAGGAAAGGAAGAAAGTAGAAATAAAGGAAAGGAAGTTTCATCTTTTCTGGGTCTGTCTCTGGTTTTCTGGTAAGTTTCTGCCCCCTTCCTTGTCTTTTTATCATTGGCCTTTTCCTCAATGCTCATTTATCTTTTCTTTTTTCAAAATCAAATAATCCCTATCCAACTTGTCTTATCTCCTTCTTGTCCTATCTCTGTTGATGTAGCCTAACTGCTCTGCCATTTTATTCTCTTTTATTTTTAACTTTATCCGGGTTTCTGCTTGGCTTACTCTCCTTTTGCCATCCCTTCTCTGCCCCATCTAATTACTCTTTCTTTATGGCAAGAATCAGACAGACCTAAGGTAACTGAAAGGGGAAGCAATAGCTAAGAAGAGTATCATCTGACCACCCACAAAGACAAAGTCCACTTGTCCAGTAGATACCAGTTATTCCCTTTCCCCCTTGCCTTATCCTACAGGATAAGAAATCACCATTCATGTGTTTTCTAGCATATTCTCTGGCTTCTTCAGAGTCACCCCAAAAGCTCTTCCAATTACCATCAACCTAGGAACTGACACTTTCAAGGGTCTGTATCCTCACCTAGCATGGAAAAGGACTGGCACTTTATCATTCAGCACATTGCTCCAAAGAGAAAGAGGCAGCTCCCAGTCCTAGTTTGAGCAACAGAAAAGGCCCCCAATTGGCACCCCAAAGCTGGAAAAAAATTATTGCTTAACACCATTGCCAAATTCCTTGTAACACTGTTACTGAACCCACAAGGAGGGTTCAATGTTGTCTGCTGCACAGAAAGCCAATTACTGAGACAGCGAGGATTGTTAGGAGGAAAGGATTTCTGTGGACGTGTCAACAGGGAGTGGGAGGTATGAACTGTCTCTAATCTGCCCCTGACCAACAGGGTCAGGGGGATTTTCTACAGGGAAAATGAATAATGCATGAGGGGTGTGAGCATCATTGCATGTTTGGGGTAGAGTGCAGGGCACGCAAGCACAGTAAGAAATCATGCTCATACATACATCCCATGATCAAAAAATGGCAGATAAGTCCCTTCCAGGGAGGAGATTTTAGCATTAAAAAGAGCTAGGGGTTAAGATTGGCCATTCTTTCAGCCTTGGGTGCAGGCTCAGTGGGTCTTTGGGCACAGTCTGTGGTGGAGCATTGCTTATCTTGTCTTCTGCAGACAAGCAAGTGGTGTGAGGCTTTGTAGGAGGTTTCATTGTTCCTGGGAAAGGAACTCAAAAGAGAATGCATCCCTACAACAGAAAGTTGCAAAGTTCTGGTCAGCAAATTTTGCTGAAGAGTTCTCTATTTTCTGCCTAATTGAAGTGGTAGCTGCTAAGTTACCAAGGCTGAGATAAATCTTGCTGTCAAGGCCACTTAGAGTTGCCAGCTCCAGCCATAATGGGAACACTGAAAACTCATTTGAAATATGAGGGAACCAAAAACATTATTGAGAAAACATTTTCTTGCTTATAGAACCGGTTACAATGTCCCCCCCTCCCTACCCGGCCTTTTCTAGGCTCATTTCTCAATCTTAGGGAATCAGTGCATAGATCAATCTATCTGCTTCCTGCTGAAGTGGGGTGTAGTTGGAACATGAGGAATGAAAATTTTGAACCTGTTGCGGAAAGTGCTCATGAGTCATAGGTGAATGATTGAAGGTCTCTAGCACCATTACGTGTTTTTCTCTGTTCTTTTAAAACAACCACCCTATCCCACTTTCTAATCATAATCCAGCCTCCCACAGAACTGACACCACTGTAAGCTCCCTCTTTCCAGCTCTGATCTGAATTCAAAAGTTTGTCGATCGCCTCAGATACTCTCACAATTGGAAGAAAGGACAAAACATAGGATATTTAAGAATTCAACCTCAGGTTCCCATTAGAATCTGGTACTCTTTACCACTCAGTCTAGCAGCACAGAGGGCAGGATTTCAGAGTGTGTGGACAAACAGCACATGCCAGCTAACTGTAGGCACTTTGGTGATGCTAAAATAAATGAAGGAGGGGAAAGCTAAGAGATAAAAGAAGCAAATCACCAAAACCACTTTCCCATTTCAGAATGTGGATATATAACTGACATTATACATCTAGTATCCTAACAGACATTAGGAAGAGGAGCTAAGCAGACCATGGAGTGGCCAATTACAGCGACTACCTGCCTAACAATAAACATCATGTATCACCCTCAACCCAAGACTCTTGCTACTCAGGCCATTCACCATACTGCACCCTCTGAAGGGTATTCAATATCAATAAGATTGAATGTCAAATTTTTAACAGCCCCTAAAATTACATCTGAGCTACTGTTTAATTATTTCTCCAATATTGTTTCTATCTTCCAGGACCACTTACAGTGACAAGGTATCTAGTCCTGAGAAAGGAGTAGGTCATTTGCTTCTAATTACAGGCTTGTCCCTTTAGGTGAGGAGTAACTATGCAATGATGTCCCACTCTCTTTTCCTTTGGGTTCCCAACAACTGTGGTAAGTCTTCTCTAATTACTACCACCATGGATGAAAACATTAGTATATAGGTTTAACCTATTTTCAAATGGGCTTTAAGAATGCCCTGCCTACAGGATCTTAGGGGTGACCCTTCTTAACCCCCACCCTGTTCACTTTTACTGGGAACCCTTCTCACTTTCCCAGTTCTAGTCTCAGGAAAGAAATAGTCCTCCCAATCTCATGATGCCCACAGCAGCTTTGATGAGTCCACACCCAGATTTAGCCTAGTATCATTTCAGGGTTCCATTCGGGACCACAAATGTTTGCCTCATTAACAAACTTCAGAACTGTATGCAGCTCACACACCCAACTTAACCTACAAGCCAGAATGCCTGTATTATTGAGGGAACAAAGTGAACTCTCCCACTGGGAAGGGGAATCACTGAGGACAATATTTTTTTTGTTTAATCCCTGAACCTAACAACACACTTAACTGTTAAGTGACTTCTCTAATGATATCAAAGAGATTCGAAAGTCATTTGGAAAATTATTTTTCCTCCTGTCTAGTAAAGAGGATGGAACAAATACATGGCCATCCCATAGGAGATGAGAGAATGAGTGAGCTTTGATAGGGAAAGAAAGGAACAGAAGGAGAATAAGCATATCCTGAATGGTAGAAACCCCCTAGACTGTCTGGCTTGGGGGGCATCTGTGAATCGGATACAAGGGCTGGGTCGGTGGAGCCCTAATTGATTCTAGGCTTTGCCAAATTGATGACGAGAGTCCCAAGGAAATCACTCAAAGAGCAGGAAGCATGTCTGCTCCCCTCATGTAGTCAGAAAATCTGGTTAAAAATCCTCAGCCTTGAGCTAAAGAGAAGTTATCTGTGCGGTTAGCAGCTCAAGCTCAGTGTTTATGGGGGTAACTGCAAATTTCACACAATTAATTTAACATACAGTGTATAGTTTCCCCTTCTAGGACAGCATCTGAAATTTTCCAGAGGTCCCTCCCAAGGCCACCGCGTAGCTCAGTAGCTCAGTTGCATTATTTAACAGGGCGTGTGCAGCTTCGACCTAACCCCATCCTAGACAGAGAAGTGTTTTCCTAAGGCCACTGTCACCACAAGAATATATGGCTCTGCTACAGCTCAAGGTCTCAGCAACAGTTTAAGTTTGGGGGGGGTCTCCAATCCCACGGAGCTGCGCAGTGGCCGCCCCCCCGCGTGACAGCACCTCCCGACCAACGCCCGCCCAGCAGCCGGGCAGCCGCGACCGCCCAACGGATGGCGCGCGGGGCGGCCAACGCCCCCCCAACGGCAGCCGCGTCCAACCGCGCGAGGGCGCCCGCGGTGACGCCACTTCCGGGCCCGCCGCGGGGCGGGGCCAAGGCGGGGCTGCGTCGGGTTGCTCGCCAGTTGCCTCCGCGGGCGCCGGCCCTGAGGGGCAGCTCCCGAACTGGGTGCACTGCGGGGCCCTGGGGGAGAGCGGCTGACGGCAGCCACGCTCTGTCCCCCCGGAGAGGCTGCCAGCGGGGGCTTCTTCCCGTCCCCCGCCCAGCCGCAGGGCTCCGTGCGGGACGGGCTGTTGAGAGGGTATCAACACCGGGGACTTCGGGAGCCAGAGATTAGCTCGAGACTAGACGCGGGGAGGGACACTGGTCCCCTTCCCGCGCGCCTCTTCCAGTATCGCGGTCGTCTGAGTCGGTTGCTCAGTCTCAAACTCTTCCGGGTCACGGCGGCGGGGCTGGTGCCCATTTCTCACCTGTCAGTCCTCCTGGGCAATGAAACAATCCCTCCCCTTCCCCGTCGTGCCTGCCCCCCGGCCCCCAGAGACGAGGCGACTCCTCCGGCTGAGCGACAGTGGCCATCCTGCGGTCTCCCCGTGTGGTTTTGAAGCACCGGGGCATCTGTTTTCTCGCTCCCTTGTTTCTGGCCCCTGTAAGCTCTTTCTGGTATCTTCTCTGCTGTCTCTTCCCCTGCCGTGTTTTTCACTCAGCCGTTAGTTGATACTCCTTCATGTCCAAGGGGTTGAGCCCTCTGAACACTTTAATCACTTAACAGCAGACACGACATACGTACTACAAAACCTGAGTGCCTACCAACAATTTTAATAGCTTTATACCTCCCCAAAGACCAAAATTAAGCTTTGTTTCTTACATTGGGCCTTCCCAGGGTGGAGGGAGAAAGAGAGAACCGCCTAAATAGTGACAGTGTACTTGTGACTGATGAGTGTCTAATGAGATGAGTGTTTTCCATTTCCCTTTTTATGATCTGTATTTTCTACAGTGTAAATAGAGTTTTGAAAGTATTTTCAATTAATTTCAAGAAGGCCAGGGACATGAAGAGGCTGTGGGAAGGGGGAAGGAGATGGGGGTCACGAGCCAAGCCCTTTGACAACCTGATTAAGAGAAATCTGTCTGCTTTTTTGAGGAATCCCCCGGTACCCCTCAGGCTTTTTCGACACTCTGCGATTCTGACAGCAAGGGGAAGAAGAGGCATGGGAAGCTTAGGGGAGGGGGAGGCGGTCTGGTATGGAAAGGTTTAGCGGGGCTTCTGACCATGGTCTGGGAGGCAGAGGACCCTAAGTGATCCATTATACTTCCTCAATTGAGGGACCAGCCAACCCACCTTGCACACACATTTGCGCTTAAAAATAGTAGGTATAGAAATGAATCGGGAGCAGATTGCCATTTCACAAAGGGGTCCCCCATGCTCTATTCAATTCTCTATTCTCTTCATTCCTTGGGCTGCTTCCCCATTCATTGGTGAGCGCAAGGCCAGACCCCAAATGAAGGCTACTGAAGTGTTTAAAATGGTCTAGAGGTCAAGACTTGGGCTTTGAAATTAGAAAAGGCCAGCTTTCGTCTAAGCTCTCCCACCTATTTGATGTGTGACCTTGGGCAAACTGTCTAACCTCAGAGCCTCTGACTTTTCATCTCTACACAAGTGATGACAACACTTGTAAACGATGACCGTCCTTCACAGTAACTGTCACAGTCGGTGCTGTACTAATGACAGCTAGTAGCCCTCTTCCTGCGTTTCCACCAGTGTGGAACCTGGGAGCCTTTGCTTCCTTTGGCATGTGCCTTATTCTCATCTGCATGGACTTGTCTGAGATAGAGGGGCTAGGATGTTTCCTTTTCCAAGGCCCTTTGCAGACCATGAGGAAGGGGCCTCCTGACCCTCATAGCCCATGGCTCTATGGTCCTGGGTCCTGGGAGTTTGACCAGAGCAGGAGTCTGTCCACCCCCAGGGGCCATGGAGAGTCTCACTCAGTCTCTGACCCAATCTCTTAAATGTAGAGTGCCCAGCTGAGGGCCAAGGGTAAAAGGGCCCTCCCATTCCCCACCCAAGGCTGACCTGACTGCCTCCACACCCTTCTACACTCCCTGAGGGGAAACACTTTAGTCACAGGTCCCTGAGATACTGTGTCCTCCTCCCCAGTCAAAACCCCACCTCCTACATAGCAGGAAGGCCCCAGTCATGAAGCCCATGTGTCTGGGACCTCTGCCTGAAGCCCTGCCTCCCCAGCAGGGTCCCTCATCCACCCTCTGTGCCCATCACCTTCTCCTTCCCCCGCTGTGACCTGTCCTGTCTTTTCCCCACGAATGCCTAGGACATAGTGCCCCAATGGGCTTTGGCATTGGGGAGCTTCTCTACCTGCTGAGATGGATTCCTATAGGAAGCAGAGTGGCCCCTCAGTCAAATGGCACCCCTCAACTTTTTTGGGCATGTTGCCTCATTGCTTATACTCCCTTCCTGGTATCCTGGGGCAGCCTCTTTATCCTCTAACTCTCAACTCTGAACCCAGCCAGCCTTTTCTAAGGGGTCTGATGACAGATACATCAAATCTGAGAGAGGCATCTCCCGCTTTAAAAGTGGGATTTGGAGTACCAGTAATGGCATTGTCAGAGTGGCCTATCAGCGGAGACGGGAACTCAGATGGGGACCCTGGGTCCCACTCTAAGGTTCGAGCCCACTTTCCTACCTATCCCCAGCCAGGTGTGTCCAAGAAGCTGGGCACGTTTCTCTCTCTGTGACAAATGTGGAGTTTTTGAGGGGGAATGGAAGAACATTTTAATCTTTTTATTTGCCGGCAAAGAAACATGCATTTAATCATAAGTATCAAGAATTGGGAAGTAATTGTGGAATGGAAAAATATGGTAGAATTTCTAAATCAACATGGGAAATGGGGCAGAATAAATGGAAAAGGAGAAGCAAAAAAAGACATCATTAAATAAATGGTAAACATAAAGTATGAAAAAATAAAAGGGAATATAACATTTTGTGAAATATGAATGGACGTTTCCCATGAAAAGAGACTATGTGATTGGGTTTTATTCTTTCTGATAGATTGTTTAATAATATGTTGTCAAAGAAGAAATACTCTTACATTGCTTCCAAAAGGGTTGGAAATAAATAAAAAAATGCAAATATATATATATTCAAGAAGGCAGAAATAATAGTACTATTATCAATCTTTGAATAAATTATGTCAAAAACTTACACATACCACACAGTACAGCTGCTATCTGTGTGGCAAAAACAATCAGACATGCGAGGAGAACTTGATTTTAAAAACACAATTCAGTGGGAGATTTAAAAAATACCTCCTTAAAAATCCCTTTTATTTTGTTGTTTCAAAATTAGACAAAATAATGTTTGGACTCATGTGGGCGAGTAAACATCTAAAATAGCTAAGAAAATCGTAGAAAGGAAAACTGTGGGGTCTCAGTGCTGCATGAGCTCCTCGGGAGAGCCACTGAATGGTTTAGAGCAGGGGTCCTCAAACTTTTTAAACAGGAGACAAGTTCACTGTCCCTCAGACCATTGGAGGGCCGTTGGAAAATGTGGCGCACATTCCACACATGCGCACTGTGGGCCTGGGACCAGTCGGCTGCTAAGCAGGACAGGTAGCGGGCGGCAAAAACACCAGGTGGGCCGGATAAATGTGGTCCTCGGGCTGTAGTTTGAGGACACCTGGTTTAGAGCACAGGACCTTCCTTGGGGACAAGTCAGCCAGGGCACTGCTGAGTGCAGCACAGAGGGTAATCCCAAGCTCTTGGCTGCCTGGGGAGAGTTGGTGTAGGATCGGCCCCAGGAAGCTGCCTCTGCCAGGAGAGATACCAGGGCAGGGTGGGCCCTGCTGGAAGCTCTGGTTGATGGTGAAGCCAGCAATAAAAACTTGAAAATGTATGGCATCCACATTTTTTTCTGTAGGGTTGGGGAACATGCAAAGAAACAGAGGCATGTGAATTGGCTGGTCAATGGCAGTACGAACAGGGACTATGGGCTACAGCTACAAAAGGAGACATTTTCCTTTAGGATGATATATAAACTCCACAACTTGGGTTTTAAGGTTCTTGGAACTGATTAGGTCCTCTCAGACCTCTTAGCCCATGACCAAACTCACAATTGATCCAATGCAGCCAGAAAGCCAGGGTCAGGATACTGTCTGCCATTTAGGACTACATCCTCATTCCTACTGCATACCTAGGTATGAATGAAGCCTCTCCACATAGAGTTATCTACATCTGAATAATGTGTACATATATACATACACATACATACACATATGTGCACACACACATATTCATACATATGGAAGGTACATTCCAACAAATTTTTTGTGGGCACTGGGAGAGGGAGGAGAAGAATGATATTTTGTGCCTCCCTTTGAGGAATGCACACTGTTGTCATAGAACAATGAGTAAGAGTTATCAATATGGGACTGGTTTTTTTCTAGGTTTCCTGCCTATAAGTGGCTCTATCAGGATGGTTATTGGAAGGACTCCATGAAATCCCTACCCGAACTAACTTTCTTCCTTGATGAATTTCTTTTAAAAATAGAGGCTGGCATGAGATGTCCCAGAAGAAACAACCTCAAAGGATCTAACTGTCCTAGGACTCGGAGGAGGAGGTAGACAGTATTTGTCACAATATTTGTCT